CCTGGAAGGCCGGTGTCCTGCAGAGTTTAGCTCCAACTTGCCTCAACACACCTGCCTTTAACTTTCTAGTATGCAGTAAGAGCTTGATTATCTGGTTCAGGTGTGTTTAATTGGGGTTGGAGCTAAACTCTTCAGGACACCGGCCCTCCAGGACCGAGTTTGGGCAGCCCTGATTTAGAATGACAATCCACAACTGAGAACTAGAACTGTGAAACTGAGGTATGGCTTCGCAGTGCCATCTAGTGGTGAAAGTGTTATTTCACACACGCACACACACACATAACAGATGATCATTTTTGTTGAATTTAAATTCCCCGGTGTATATATTTCAGAAAATATTATATTAAATGGCGTTAGATATTCGGAGACACGCAGACGCCTATATTATATTTTTTTTGTCCCAAAATATTCATCAATGACTGTTTTGGTATCGAAGCGATACGTTTGCTAATAACAGACAAATAAATTATCTAAATATTAGCAGCAAGACTAATTTACATCAAGTATCAGTCCAGGTAGCCAAGCTATTTAAGCAACTCGTACATTAGCATACGTCTCCGCCTCCCAGGGGCAGTCAACTTGAGAGGGTGGGAATAGGATGGGCTGTGCTGCTGCTCCAAACTTTTCTAAAGTTCAGAAACTTTTGCACAGCCTGTGACAGTACTACCGCATCTGATCCTCTCTGCTGATCTGAAGAGATGTCTGAGTTAGGCTCCATTGACAATCCGGTGAAGTTCAAAGATCAAGACTTTGACGCCCTGCTGCAGAAGTGCCTCAAATCTGCTGCTCTGTTCTCTGACACGGTGTTTGCAGCGAACCAAAGCTCCCTCGGCATTCCAGTGGATCCTGATCCTAAAAAGGCAGTGAAGTGGCTGCGCCCAAAGGTAACTTAATTTATACACAAGTTAGGTTAATTACTACTATGAGAATAGTCTTTTTTTATTATCAGCATAATTAAGGTTCAAATGGATTGTTTTTTGTTTTGTTTTTTCCCAGAAAGAATACGTTTAGATTGTGTCTATGCCGTGATTTTACAGCAAATTTAATTGGTAACAATGTATAATAACATTTATCACCAGTCATTTTGACAATATTTGACAATAAGTTAAAAGAAACATCTAAAAGTGAAGTAGAAAACAAGAATTTTCATTGAACACCAGTAAAGTCCCTCACACTTTATGTGGTCATTTAGGGTGATGTTACACCTCAAGGGGAAATTACATCATAGTTATACAACCTGCATGTACTAGAAAACGCAGAAGCAAGTAAAATTACATTAAACAGAAAATGAAACTGGATGAAAGCAAAAATATATAGCCTTAGCCTATACATTAAAACAAAAAGGCTGAAAAATGTGCGGATTTTCGCAAAATCTGTCAATAATTTAGATATGTTTTTAATTTGTTTAAAAATACTCAAAAATTCTGTCATAATTTACTCACCCTCATGCCATTCCGAACCTGTATGAATTTCTTTCGTCTGCTGAACACAAAAGAAGATATTTTGAAGAATGTTGGCAACTAAACAGTTTTGGTTCCAAGTCAATGGGAACATATTCTTCCAAATATCTTCTTTTGTGTTCCACAGAAGACACAGATGCATACAGATTTGAAATGACAAGAGGGCGAGTAAATGATGAAAGAATTTTAATTTTCTTGATGATTTATTCCTTTAAGACAGACCGACCATGAACCTGTATAGTTCTTGCATGTGTTTTCAGATGTCCTCATCAGCTCATCACATGTACTTGCAAATTGTTTTTGGCTCACACCCATCTTTCTTCCCCACCTCTCCCCCTCTTCAGGAAATCACAAGTAATGCTGTCTTTGTTGAGGGCACCATGGGCACCACCGATATCTGCCAGGGCCAGCTGGGTGAGTGTACGCTCGTGTTAGCGCACGGTTGTTCATATTTTATGCCAGGATAATGGGATAACGCCTTACTGCACTTCTCAGAAACCAAATCACCCGAAAGCACCCTCAAGGCATGAGCGCTATCAGTGAAATATCCGTCTTTGGCAACGCTCCCACTCTTCCTCTCCTTATCATGCAGATGCCCTCCCCCCCATCCTCTTCCACCCAGATCTTCCTCATCATGCTTAATGTACTATCCCAATTCTGCCCCTGTAGCCTCGAGACACTGCGCTGATCTCAGAGCCTCCTGCAGAGTCTCTGCTGAGAGATGCAACATGGAGCCGCCGCAGGCCACTCACATCAAAAACATGACAAATGTACTAGAGACAGGGAGGGATGAAAGCAGAGGGAAGAAGGAGGGAGCGAGAGGTCGGATTGGCATCATCTGTACACCCCTCCCTCTCCCGCCCCCCATTTCCACCCACCTAAAGAATAACAATTATTGTGCACAGCGGGTATTGTTTTATTGTTTTGCCTTACCCCTCTCGCTTGCTTTCTACATATGGCGTTGATTTGGTGTTGATGGAAAGTGTTTTCTTTGATGTGGAGTGTTGGCGAGATATTCAGCGTTTATATGCGCAGCTGTATTCTATAATTAAGTGTTTCCCAACCATTTTTTGTCTTTCGTACCCCCAAAGTCCCATGAGAAAGGGTCAAGTACCCCTTTATCAACACCAGACCAGAAATTTGTGCCTTTTCAACTCATATGAACAAGGTATATATCAAGTAAAATCATAATTCAATAAGAGTCAATGAAATGTGGAACGTCTTTGTTACAGAAATACATTTATTTAAATCCGATGAATGCCGAATGCTGAATGCCGAATGAGTTCAGTGTTTATTTGTGACCCTGGACCACAAAACCAGTCATAAGGGTAATTTTTTTTAAATTGAGATGTATACATCATATCATATGAATAAATAAGCTTTCCATTGATGTATGGTTTGTTAGGATAGGACAATATTTGGACTTGGAGATACAACTATTTGAAAATCTGGAATCTGCGGGTTCAAAAAATCTAAATATTGAGAAAATCGCCTTTAATGTTGTCCAAATTAAGTCCTTAGCAATGCATATTGCTAATCAAAAATTACGTTTTGATATTTACAGTAGGTAATTTACAAAATAAAAATCGATAATTTTGACCCATACAATGTATTTTTGGCTATTGCTACAAATATACCTGTGCTACTTATGACTGTTTTTGTGGTCCAGGATCACATTTACCATGCATTTTGATGCATGCACCATAGCAAAACCTGTGCCTGTCAGAATCTAAATAACCCCTAAAAGGTGCAGTATATATATATATATAAAAAATCATTACTATTATCAAATACATCAAAAAAATTAAGATACAGTACTACAATTTCTTTTCTTTCTTTTTTTTCAAAATATTGCTTTCATTTTCAGTTTATTCATTTACAGTTTTTTGTTCCCCAAGTAACATATAAAATATATAAACATTTATATATTTGGCAGATGCTTTTATCCAAAGCATATATTACATTGCAAAGTTGATTTTCTCAGAAATTAGTCCAACTCACTCATTAGCCAATTTCCCTTTCACTTTTCACCTTTGTAATTTTTGAAAATGGCTTCTATTACAATTAAGATGCCATCCACAGCAAAATGGAAATGGAATTCGGAAATGACCTTTAAATGTTGCACCATCCTCTGAATCTGCACAAAAGCGCTTTAATTGTAATTAAATTGTTGTGTCTTATATTTCGAAGTTTGCACCCTTCAGAGGTCGTATTTGTTAGAAGCATATGTCAAAAGTGGAGCACAAAATTACAAGGAACGCTGAAACGCACACACACGAACAAACATGTTCTTCTCCACAGAGACCTTCCATCTCAAGTTTTTAAACAAAACGCATTCTATATGGCTGGCTGCCCAACACGTTTTTCATTCCACACTGCTGCTTTTCCATTGTTTTGTTTTTTTATGTAAACATGCAAATAGACACATTTGACCATTGCGTTCCCATCTTTTGCAGAGTCAGAACTTTATGACTGGCCTAATGCAGACTTGTTACATCATACCAATATTCTTGTGCTTTGTTCACATAAAGCATCAAAACAGAAATTTACTGGTAATGCCACAACCTCTCATTCCAGCAAACTGCCAAATCTGATTTACCAGTATTTCTCAAAAGGTCCTGTCCACACATGATCTTTAAGCGGTAATTTATCATTAATTTTCCGGAAAAGGGCTGACTCCCTTTTTGTATCCCCCAAGGATACAATGCAATTTAAGGGGTATCCATAGATACTTGAGTGGAAATACCAAACAATATCCTTGTCACGGCAACATCATTTATTGCGAAATCCAACATTTCTGACTTTTCTGAGTTGTCTTGGTAAAACCCACATGCAAAGAACTGTGGGCCTCTTGCATCAAAGCAGGCAGATCTTTGCTTAAATCATGAAGTGTGCATTTGCCACTCAGGATTTGGGTGGTCTCTCTAAATAATATATAAACATCGCAACGCATCACTAAATAATCTACACAACGCATGTAAATATTCTCATTTGAATGGAAATCTGCCCAATAATGCCTTATTCTTAGCACTTCAAGCATAAATTTTAATTATTTGTTTTCAAGTGGCTTTCCACATCAACATATCCAGCCCATTTGCTTGCGGTTTGAAGATTAATTGGATGTACTCCATTGTAGAGCATTGTAGAGCTCTGTTTGGTGTCGTTCCTATGGGAGCTGCCGTGTTAAGTATGTTTTTTATGAAGTGTTGTCACGCCGAATCCATTTCTGTTTTCCCCCACACGGGGCAAACGAACAGCTGTTACCTGTTACAGAGGAATGTCACTGTGCGGGAGACAGACCACATGTCTCCTGCTTCTTCAAAGCCTGAATTTCCACTTTTGTTTGAGGCTGTGGTCATATGTCATAAATATTGATGTAATTTATGTGTTGTGTACAGTGTTGGGGGTAACGCATTACAAGTAACGTGAGTTACGTAATCAGATTACTTTTTTCAAGTAACTAGTAAAGTAACGCATTACTTTTTTAATTTACAAGAAAATATCTGAGTTATTTTTTTAAAAAAGTAACGCCAATTACTTTGTTTTCCCATTTATTGACTGACAAGTCTCCCATATTGGGAGATGATCCAGTTCAATCATACTAATAAGCAAAAATGACTTTTGATAAACTAACAATTGTGCTTCATTGTTTTTTTTTTTATTGCTGAAGAGTGTTTCTTCTCCTGCGTTCTACTGTACAGACGTGATTTTCCTTCAGCCTGAGGTTTATTCATTACACTTTTTGGTGTGAAAGGGCTTTTACATTTGCTATAAATAGAACTTTTTATATTAAAAACAATCAAGCCCTGCTCATATTTAAAAAGTAACGTGAAAGTAAAGCAAAAGTAATGTAACGCATTACTTTTCCATAAAAAGTAACTAAGTAACGTAATTAGTTACTTTTTTAGGGAGTAACGCAATATTGTAATGCATTACTTTTAAAAGTAACTTTCCCCAACACTGGTTGTGTAACACAGCCTGTCACTGTGTCTTGCTGTAGGTAACTGCTGGCTGTTGGCGGCCCTGTCCTGTCTCACCATGCACCCGACTCTGTTTGTGAAAGTGGTTCCATCTGGACAAAGCCTGAGTGAATCCTACGCTGGCATCTTTCGTTTTAGGGTAAGGGGGAACGGGAAACCTAGATTAAAAACAACAATTATGAGACAATTTATGAGGTTATTCTTTAGAAGTAACACAATACGTCATGTTTTTCATCCACAATTGCTATTTAATCTTAAATTAAACTGAGATTAGTAAATAAAAGATGCATAGGGAAAGCATAAAAGAACTCATAAATTTTACATAAAGGGGTCCATTTTAATAGTCCAAGTGGGGGTCTGTGAGCGAGTCGAATCCGTCCAGCATTTATATCCTCGTTTGAATGTCTTCTGTGTAATTAAGGGTCTGGATTTACCTCTAGCTGGAGATGTAGTAGGCATGGTAATTAGAATCAGTCTTCTCTGACCTTACCATCCCTAACAGCTGAGGCTTTTTCCAGAAACAGCTCCCGTCATCTTCCTTTTGTCTCGATGACATGTACATCTGCATGCCCCTCCCCCTTTAAACACGCACCGCATTGGCACAAGTGATCATAATTCAGTTGTCTGTTTTTCATTCACAGAGAAGGAACATTGCGTTTCTGTTTGTTCCCGTGTTGTATATTTGTTGCAGGCCCCTTCAAAATCAGCGTTTACCCTCTAGCTACTATTCACTTGGTCCACTAATGATCTGATTAGAACCATGCTGGTCAATTAAATACAAAGTTTGGAATGACCACACCTCTTAAAATGATCCCAGAGTTGCGAAATCTCATGTATGAGTGCTTGCTTACACAGTTTCCACAATTACTGATAAGAAAAAAAAAAAACAGATAAGACCAGAATAGTCTTTATTTTGTCCACCCCTCAGGAATCCTGTCGGCCTTGTAATTTAGCAGGAACCACTAGAGAGAGAGACATACACTTAAAAAAGAAAGCTGTGCTCATAGTGGTAGCCTGAAAAAAAGAGGGCATGCCCCTCCCCCTTTAAACACGCACCGCATTGGCACAAGTGATCATAATTCAGTTGTCTGTTTTTCATTCACAGAGAGAGAACCACTAGAGAGAGAGAGACACACTTAAAAAAGAGAGCTGTGCTTATAGTGGTAGCCTGAAAAAAAGAGTCCCACTGTGAGGCTCAAGGCAACATGAAAGTAAACTGATTTACTGAAAGAAGTGAAGGTGGGTGGAGTTTGTTCATCTAAACCTGTCAATCACATCACAAGTGTATACAGAGGGCAAATTACAGGGGGGGTTTTGGGGGGAATCTCACCTAGTGTTTTGATAGGGGCTAGTGGTGACAAAAGACAAATTGTGTTCATAAAATTACTGACAGATATTACTGAATGAACTATCCTTTTAAATAAGGTCTATCACCTTCCTCTTCCGCTAAATACAGCAGCAGAGAGTGGGGTAAGATGTGCCATGTTCACCCAAAAATTCTTTCATTATTTACGTTCCCTCATGTTGTTCCAATCCTATATGACTTTTATGACTATTTAGCGAAACAGAAAAGAAAATATTTTGATAAATATTGGTAACCAAACAGTTCTGGTTTCCACTGACCAAAAAATTATGGACCAAAAAAAAATTCCTTTTTGTGTGAACGTCCCTAGACAGAGAGAAAAGAGACCGAAAAAGAAAGAAAGAAAGAAATTATTAATGCCTAATCCTATCACAAATTGTTATTTTTGCATTATTTGCATATGAAAACTGTCCAAATTAATTTTTTTAAGTGAAAAAATTCTTAATATACATATTTTTTGCATGAGAAATAGTATGAATATCATATGTTTATTGTATGTTTTTTATTGTATGTTTTTTTTTCAGCCCCGTTTATTTACCCCATTTTACTCACATCACTGGTACTATTTTAGGGAAAATGCTTCATTTAATAATTCTTTAGGCAAAAGTTATGTTTTTATGAGATTTTTAAAATTATCAAAAAACAAGGATGATATATTTTTTAGACTCGGATAAGTTTACTGACAAATTTCAAACTACCATGTAGAAAATAAAACAAAATTAAAACAAAACCAAACACAAAACAAACAAACAAAAAACAATCCAAACAAAACAGCCTTTTAGCTGTTCACGTTCACATATGCATCTCTCAATTACAGGCTGTTGTATATAATGAGCCCTTTCTAAATATGTGGTGTATATGATAAATAAACCACACATTTTACTCACCTACTCCTCAGGGTTTATTTTTCTGAAGCACAAAGTGACAAATGAACCACTGCGTGTGTAATTATTACTGCAATGCTATTTGTTTCAGAGAGTTCACCTTGACAAAGCGTGCAATAAAACAAGCCACTACAGCTCTCGTGGCTTATGTGCTGTTGTGTGCGTGGTTGTAAACTGAGGGCAAACTTGTGAGATAACAGCACAGTTAATTAAACAATCAAAACATATTAGCACTGAAGAACTCTTATGGAAGGTTGCTCAGCGTTATGTAATTGTTATGGCGTTCTCATCATATAATTACCTTCTGCCTGCCACAGTAGTACATTCAGAGGCTAAACAGCTATGCACAACATGACTTGACCTGATCCAGGAGGGTTAGAGAGGACAGGAAAGAAAGAAGACACATCAAAAACTGAGTGACAGGAGGGAAATGAGAAGACTGTTGATTGGTGGACGATTCCTGAAATGTCTAGACTTGTTACTGTAGCCCAAGGACATGGACACAGACACATGGACATGCACATCAACAGGTCCATACCTGCCTGTCTAACATCACAGAAAGTCTTTCAACTTCACATTTAAGGGGTCATTCATACAGTTTTTATTACTTTAATAATATATGAACGCGTTCAGTTTTACACCAAAACAGTCAGCATATTTAGTTTTCCATGACTATTTTCCACAGTTTTTGCTGCTGTGCCTTTATGGCTCTTAGGTAAATGAAAGTGCACTACCATTCAGAAGTTTGGGTGAGTATGTTTTGTTTGTTTTTTTTTGTTGTTTTTTTAAAGAAATTAATACTTTTATTCAGCAAGGATGAATTAAATTGATGAAAAGTGGACATTTATAATGTTACAAAAGAATTTTATTTTAAATAAATGCTGTTCTGTTGAACTTTCTATTCATCAAACAATCAAAAAAATTAAATTTATATACAGTATCATGGTTCTCACAAAAATTTTAAGCAGCACAACGGTTTTCAGCATTAATTAAAAAAAAAATTTCTTGAGCACCAAAACAGCATATTAAAATTATTTCTGAAGGATCATCTGACACTAAAGACTGGAGTAATGACTGATGAAAATTCAGTATGCAATTAAAAGAATAAATTACATTTTTAAATAAACTGAATTAGAAAACTGTTATATTAAATGTTAATATTTACTGCATTTTTTGGTCTAAATAATACAGCTTTGGTGAGCATAAGAGACATTTAAAAAAAATAAAAAATAAAATAAAATATAAAAAAAAGACTATTATTTAAAAAATCTTAACAATTTTTTCCCTCTTCTTTTTTTTTGAATTTTTCTTTTTATATTTTCATACAATGTACATTAATTACATTGACCCCTTTTAAAAAGAGGAAATGTACTGGTCAAAATGTTGCAAAACCGTGACAGATACAGAACAGTAAAACAGCCCACTTTTTTGGGTACATCAACACCCAAAAGTGCTTGTATAGAGCAAATGTAACCCTATTCTTTCTCTGTGTGTGTGTGTGTGTGTGTGTGTGTGTGTGTGATGCAGTTCTGGCAGTATGGTGAGTGGGTGGAGGTGGTAGTGGATGACAGGCTGCCTGTGAGAGAGGGCCGTCTGCTTTTCAGCTACTCTCGCGCCACCAACGAGTTCTGGAGCGCCCTGGTGGAGAAAGCTTATGCCAAGTCAGTTCCAGCATATGTGTCCTTGACTGTGTGGGCGCGTGACTGTTCATTAGTGACACCGCTCACGTGAAGGCCATTGTTCCTTTGTGTTATTTAAAGACTGATATTTTTGGAAAAAACATCCAGTTGTGAAAAATAATCAAATGCATTTCATAGATGTAGAATAATTAATGTGAAATCAATCTAACCAATAGAAGCCAATTAGTAATATTTGTATACGTGTCTGTCTGTTCTCAAAGGCTGATTGGTTCTTATGGCAGTCTGAAAGGGGGAATTATCTCAGAAGGAATGGAGGATTTTACGGGGGGCATTGCCTACTCCCTCCCCGTGTCTTCTCGGCCCCCACGCATGCTCTGGAGGGGCATCACTGCTGCCCTGGCTAGGAGCAGCCTGCTCAGCTGCTTCATACATGTATGGACACATATTCACACAAACACAGTGACACATGCACACACGAACACTACCGTTTAAATGTTTGGGGTCAGTAAGATTTTCTCTCTTTTTTTAAGAATTTAACAGCAAGTTCTGTCATTACACTCTAGATGGCGCAGGCTGATGGGTCCCTAACGCAAACTGATTATATTCACAACTATTCATGTTGCATATGCAGCCAATGAGCTTACTGCTTTACATTTAAATCACTGGTTAGCATTCACTAGAGCAGTTGGCAGTACGCTTTCAGAGTTCCTCTGAAATCCTCCACATCCCCAGCTCCACCTGTATAGATCTGCTATGGGTTATTATACAGTATATGCTACTTAAATAAACAATTTAATGCAAGGATGCATTAAATTAATTAAAAGTGACATTACAGATGTTTATAATATGACAAAAGATTTCTATTTCACATAAATGTTGTTTTTTGAACTGTCTATTCTATTCTATTCAAAAATATTTTTTGCAGCACAACTTTTTTAAACATTGCATATCAACAATGGTTTCTGAATTATAATGTGACACTGAAGACTGGAGTAATGGCTGTTAACATTTTTTTAATAAATTTAATTATGGAATAAATAATGCTGTAAAATTTATTCCAACAGAAAATTGTTAGGTTAAATTGTAGCAATATTTCACAATATTGTTTTTACTGCTTTTTTTGATCAAACAAATGTGCCCTTGGTGAACATAAAAGACATATACAATATAAAATATACATGACTGTATACATAATAAACATGCATATATTGTGTATTGTGCGCAGGCTGCGAGTGTAAAGGAGATTGGCACTGTGACATCAGAGGGTCTTATCAAAGGTCATGCATATGCCATCACTGATACAGATAAGGTATGAATATAACACGCACATATACATGATTTCAAAAACATGAACACTGGAGGGGGGGGGGTACTTTATTTTACAGTATTCTGTACTATAGTAAATTATGCATAATTACATGCAGCTAATCCTAAACTAAAACCCTATTCCTGATCCTAACCCTATAGTAAGTAGTACATGTTCTTAATTAATATTACTCAGTACTTAAATGTGTAATTACACTTAATAACTACACTACACAATAAAAACACTTAATAAATGTATAATTACACTTACAGGGATACTTTAAAATAAAGTGTAACTTTTTGGGGGATTGTGAGGTTGTTTTCCTTAGATTGATTGATTGATTGATTGAATTTGGCGTGAATTATGACCTGGGCATTTGATAGACAGTGAATGACTCATCCAATAAGTGATTTTTAATAGCTTTTGGCAAACATCTCTGTGTGTTAGTGCCCTTGAGAACCTAATATACACCCCATAGGTTCTCACATGCTCTGTTTGTGTGTGTCTAGGTCCAGAGGACGTCTGAAGAGGTCTTACTGCTGAGGCTGCGTAACCCCTGGGGGTTTGTCGAGTACTGTGGACCCTGGAGTGACAAGTGAGAAAGACCTCAGGAGCTCACTTCTTACCAGAGTTGCATCTCAATGGCTGCTAAAGACTGCACATTTGTGTTTGTGTGTGTGCAGGTGTAAAGACTGGGACGTTATAGATAATGCTCAGAAGGCCAGACTGGAGTTGGCGAAAGTTGAAGATGGAGAATTCTGGTAGGTAAATGTACACTGTACACAATTCTTCCAGACACATTTCCGTAACTCACACAATCACAATTTTATCTTGGGACATGCACAGAAACGTAATATTTGTAGAAACATTTTATGTCAGACAAATTGTGAAAATAAAGCGGCTCTGCAGCACACTAAAAATAGAAACAGGCTGCTCATCAGCTGGTGCTTCCAGTGTAGACAAAGCCATTGATTTTATCATGGGAGTGACACACACACATCTCTATCTCTATCTCTCGCTATTGTTGAGCACATGCCAAACAGGAATCAATTAAATGCCAAGAATTATATAGCACTGCTAACACTACTACTAATAATAACTGCCACTGCAGTTAGCGCATCCCTTAATAGGCCATTTAGTTAAAGTGATAGTTAACCCAAAAATGAAAATTCTGTCATTTAGTTGTTCCAAACCTGTATAAGCTTTTTTTTTTTCCTGTTGAACACATAAGAAAATATTTTGAAGAATGTAACCAAACAGTTGACAGTAACCACTGATTTCCATAGTACCCAAGTCAAAGGCTACAATCAACTGTTTGGTTACCAATATTCTTCAAAATATCTTCTTTTGTGCTCAAGAGAAGAAAGAAACTGATTTGGAACAGCTTGAGGGTGAGTAAATGGTGACAACGTTTTAATTTTGGGGTGAACTATCCTTTTAAATCTATCTGTGTCTGGACTTCATAAGCATTTATGTTTTTTAGGATTGGAATAGAAGACTTTTGTCTGCTGTTTAATACAGTGGAAATGTGCAGTGTGAATCCGGACTCTATGTCAGGGGAGGCGAGTGATGACACGGCCACCCCGTCCTGGACATTGAGCTCACATCAGGGCACCTGGGTCCCAATGTGCTCTGCAGGGGGCAGCCGACGATACCCCAGTAATTGCATGTTTGTTAACAAATATGTCTGCTAAATACTGCTTATTATTAGTTAATAAGGTAGTTGTTAAGTTTAGGTATTGGGTAGGATTAAGGATGTAGAATATGGTCATGCAGAATAAGGCATTCTGCATAAACAGCCAATATGCTAGTAATATGCATGCTGATAAGCAACTAGTAAATAGTGAGAATTGGTCCCAACACTAAAGTGTTACATATAATATAATATAATATAATATACAGTTAAAAAATTTGGGATCAGTAAGATTTTTTTCAGCAACATTCAGTACGTTTATGATTTAAAAAAAGATTTCCATAAAAATATTAAACAGTGCAACTGTTTTCAACAAGAAAGTATAATGCAATAATAAAGTAGAAGTATGGTTATTTTTCAGCATTATTTATTTGCTCTAAAAATATTTTTTACACTGTAACAACTTTCTTAACATGCTTCCTCATCGCTTATTACTCTTATTCAATTCTGTAGGATCTTTCTGCAAAAATCCTCAGTTCCAGATGATTCTGTCTGAGAAAGATGTGGATGATTATGATTATGGAGAGAATGAAGAAGGGGAGGAAGGAGATGGAGAAGACGATGAAGTAGGTGTTGTGGTGGCTCCTGTGAGCAAGACTGAGAAACAGGGAGAGAAAAAGAAGAAGTGCACGGTACTGGTGGAGCTTCTCCAGAAATACCGCAGACAAAAAGATAAAGTCAACTTTCTCTACATCGCATTTCACATCTACAAGGTGAGAGATTGAGACCCCCTGTTACATATTATATAAATCTGAGTGGTGCATTTTAAGCCAGACCTAAAATATAGTATAATAGTAATGTATTTTTCGTACTTTATGATGCAGAGCCATTAAATGAATCATTATTGATGTACAGAGTGAAGCATATTACATCATTTAATAATTTTTTATATAATAATTAGTTAAAATAATAATAAAAACAAGACTCAAGACTGGAGTAATGTCTTCACAAAATTCAGCTTTGCCATCTTAGGAGTAAATTACATTTTGAAATATATTTAAATAGAAAACAGCATCATATGCTATTTTAAATTGTAATAATACTTCACAATATTACTGTTTTTACTGTATTTTGGATTAAATAAATGCAGACCTGCCAACCTGTACACATTTTGCGTAGTGGGTACGCATTTTGACTTCAAAGTACACGATTTGTCACTCTAAAAAGCTACGCAAAAATCTGGTGACGCCTTCGTCCACACATAGTACTCAAAAGAAGAGTTCGACCAATCAGAGCGCTGGGTTTATTATTCGTTTAAATAATTTACGTGCATTTTATTTTTGTCTGGACTGGCTCTGCTTGAGATGAGGAAACTTCTCCCCGCTTATAACGTGCATTTTAAAAAGCAACGCACATGCATTTTAAAAAGCAACGCACGCCAAACATCTTTCCTTGTGATGATTTGTAATGAGAAGCATCTCTAAACCTGTTGTCCTACAAAAGAGAAGATTTTAGCATTTTACTTCACAACATCAGTCGAGTGTTTGAAATAACTTCCTTTTGTAATAAATATGTTCTATACTGTAAAAAAGCCTATCGATTAGCAATGGATTATAAAAATTCATAATTATTATGAAAATACCCGAGATGGCTTGAAGAACCCAGATAAACTATACATTGTTGCAGTCGAGTGTTTATTGTCTTTATGTTTGATCAGTTTAAATGTTTTTATATTCTTTTTATTCGGCTACAGTGATAGCTGGATGCCTTTGTCCATATTAGGGTTTTCCTGGAGCGTCATCAGTTCTGTTACTTCTGTGATGCATATGTGGAGTTTGTACTCGAGGGCGCCCTCCAGCTTCCTGTATGAATGACACATACATTATATGTGTTTACAGCACTCAATAATGACCAATCAATCACCCCTATTTTGAGTAAAAATAATACTTCTCTCAAAATAAATTTTAAGTTGACATATGGTAAGCCATGTTTTTCTACAGTGTACAGAAGTGTACTGGCGTTTATTTAAAATGTACTGGAGTTTTTTTTGTTGTTGGTTTTTTTGCTTTCTTTTAAATAGCAATAAGTAAATTAATTAATAAAATAAAAATACTCTGATGTGCCAAGCCATCAGAGCTGAACCTAACCGAAAACCGTGGTTAAAGGAGTGCAGACCTGCTAATATTTAACATTAAAGCTTGCACATTTACGATTTTGATATTAGCCATCAAGGAGCTTGAGGTAATAATGTAGATATCTAGGAATATATGAACCATCCCCCCCCCCAAAACCCAGTGTCCCGTCCCGTCACACTGATGGTACTCGAAAATCTTTTCCAAGGTTGGCAGGTCTGTAAATGCAGCCCTTTTGAGCATAAGAGGCGTCTTACAAAGAAATTTAAAAAAAAAATTATACACTGTACATACTGTGTATGCCCGTCCCGTCACACTGATGGTACTCGAAAATCTTTTCCAAGGTTGGCAGGTCTGTAAATGCAGCCTTTTTGAGCATAAGAGGCGTCTTACAAAGAAATTTTAAAAAAAAATTATACACTGTACATACTGTGTATGTATATACTTTATATACAAAATATCATATAGGCTCAGAGGCGTCATGCCCATTCAAAGTGAAAATGTTTGTACAAATCTGTAAGATATTAATTTCAAAGTGTATACAGCTTCAGTGATTTTAAGATTTTAGCCTAACTTACAATGTTTTTACTAAATTCACATTAAATACAAAGTTAGTCGTACTAAAAATATTTTATGGCATGACACCCTGTTACTTAAGTAAATAGACAGGTTTTTATGCATAGTTAATATATTACATTATTAGGTTACGTTGACCATCATAGATCTACATAATCTATAAAGGTGGGAATCAAGATATTTCATGATATAGTTCATGCGTTTGGGGATGTTTCGAATAAAAAGGAGTGCCCCCTCAAAAATAATGAGTGCATGACGCCCCTGTATAGGCTCATATATGCTGTCACATATGTTGTGTTTTGTGTGAAGGCTAATAATAAAAACATTTTAATAATAAAATCTAAATTATTTAATAATTATACAATAAAAATTATACATTTTAATGTGGGAGGGACAAATAAACAATTAGCTCAATTTTCATCTTTGTAACTTTAGCTTTTTTATTTGTTTAATGTATATTTTAAATGTTTTTTTTTTCCATTGCAAATTTATTTAGCCCTTTTTTCTCTCTTGACTTACCTCCTCCTTGTCTTTTTCAGGTTCCCCCTGAGGTGAGCAACTGACTGAATAACAGCTAGCAGCATTAAAATACAGATCTTTGAAATACAAACACATGCACACACTTTCACATTTTTCTACCTTTAACTGCAGGACAAACCAGGATCTCTGGACCAGCCATTCTTCTCCAACAACAGTCCAGTTACTCGCTCTGGAAAGTACCGTAGCATTAGGAGCGTGTGGCGGAAGGTGCACCTAGAGCCTGGCAGTTATGTCATCCTAGCCTCCACCTACAGGCCCAACCAGCAGGGGGAGTTCTTCCTCCGTGTTTACACCAAAACCGGCAACATACAGGGGTACAAAGAATGAAAAACGTCTAATTTCTATCAGTTCTCTGTTGTGATTGTGGCACCGTGCTGTTTGCAGTATGTCTGTCCAGCGGTTAACCATAAAACAGTTTCAAATCTGCTTTACAGGTTCCAGGATTTCCCCTGCACCAACAACTACTCAGTGGTAAGACATCTACTGACTGAAATGAGAAAGAAGAACAACTGTCTATGTGTGTAAATAAATATGATATTAAATATTTATGTTGCTCTCTGTATGTACATGTGTGTTTGTCATTCCACAGATGGTAATGTCAAAGCCAGTCTTACCTGAGGATCAGTTTAGGGTGCAGAAGTGGTTTGATGAAAAAGCTGGATCGGTAAGTCACATTCTAGAGTGGAAAAGATTTGTGGGCATCTGATGAATCATTGAAGAAAGCAAACATCTCTAACTATGTCTTTATGTTTTTCACTTTCCAGGATGACAGAGTGAATGCTGTGCAGTTCATGAACCTGGTGAACTCAGGTCTGGATGTACACATTTAGCACAAGCTGTCACCACAGTGATTGTTCACAATATTTAAGCAAACATACTTAATGTACCACAAATGGCCACAAGGTGGAAGTATTATGTAGCTTCCCTTACTATAAAGTTAAGCTAGTGTGATGAATTCCAGCAGTGTTGCTATACATTCATCTACTTGTATGCAAGTAGAAGAAAAACATAAAAAGCAAAAGTAAATAAATACTAGTACTGTATAAAAATATGGTTATATAATAAAACATTTTATATAATACAATGATTTACACTCACAACATTAACATCCATATCAGTGGCTTAAATTTTATATTTAATGGATCACCATGTGATAATACATGATCCACTAATACATTTGTTTCATACTACGTATAGTTCAAATCTATTAGTTTACTTACTGAAATATCGCTCGAGACTTACTGATATAAAAATTATAATTAAGCTTTATTTGGAGTACTACTTGTGCACAATGCACATTTCTTAATATTAAGTCTAAAATGTGTTTTAATGTAACTTTTGATGAGGATTGTATGATCTTTGAATAATATCGGTCTTTAAATGCAAGCTATTTCAAGTTTACCTGAAATATACTTGCAATAGTTCCACTTTAGCATAATCAAATATACTTAAATATATCTTTAGTTGGACTACTTCCGCACAATTAAAGTGCATTAAGTACAAAATTAGTTGTTTCAGTTTACAGTATACCAGTTTAGCATACCAAAAGTACAGTGCATACCAAAGGTGCAGGGTATTTATATTTATATTAAGTACATAAATATGTAAATTAATTTGTAGTATACTTACTTAACATTAAATAAATGTATTTCAAATACATTTTAGTATATTTATTTTTCACTGTAGGGAGGTTTCACTTGTTTGTGTTTTATTTGTGTTTTAGTGTTGGAAAAAGACTATGAACTTCCACTGGAGACCTGCAGACAGCTCATCTTTGGGGAAGACGTATCCTTCTTCCACTTAGCGATATCTTTAAGAAATTAATATTTTTATTCAGCAAGGATGCATTAAATTGATCAAAAGTGACAGTAAAGAATGTTAAATTGCATAACAAATCTCAAATACATGATGTTCTAACTTTTTATTTAACAAATAATTCCGCAAAAGATGCATCACCGTTTCCACAAAATATTAAGCAGCACAGCTGTTTTCAACATTAATAATAAAATAGTTTCCTGAACAGCAAATCAGCATATATAAAAGATTTCTGAAAGGTCATGTTGCACTGAAAAATTGAGTAATTGTAATCACAGCAATAAATGACATTTTAACATATATTAAAGATAGAACACAGTTATTTTAAATTGTAATATTACATCACAATATTACAGTTTTTACTGTATTTTTGTTATCAAATGAATGCAGCCTTGATAAGAATAAGAGACATTTAAACAGCAGCATACTATTTTAGCATACTATTTTATTTACATGTATATTTTTCTTCCATTCTTGGTTAATATTCTTAACGGTTGTGTGTAGACTGGTGGCAGAGGCCGTCTGAGCAGAGTTCAAGCAGAGAAGCTGCTCACCTCCCTACGCAATCTGCAGGTATCTTAGTTCTCATGCGTGAAAAGGTCACTCTCAGCTTTGGCACAGTGTTCGAAAGAGCAGTGAGGACACTGAGCTGTGACAATTATCAGGTTGTGTTAGGTTACATGGAGCTCGTCTTGCACAGACCAAAAGACCTTGAAATGTTGTTGTTGTTTACCTGGTTTATGAACTCATTTGCCTTAGTGCTCTGTGCCAGTGTCGTATCGGAGCGAATTCCCAAACACTGGCTTCCTTTCAAGAAAGCATGGAGAAATTATTGCTTGATATTACAATTCATGATTATTTCCCCCCGCAGTCTATCTTTTTCCAGTTTGATGAGGATTCATCAGGAACCATGAGTCCATTTGAACTCAGTTTGGCTCTGAATGCTGCAGGTGATCACATACATATGCAAACACCACTGTGTTAATATACAAAGGGAAAGTTAGAGTCTCTACACTCCTCTGCAGCACTCACGTTCCCTCCCCCTCCTTCTGTGTCTGTTTCTGCCCTCAGGTGTGGAGTGTGACAATGTTGTGGTGCAGTTGTTGTGGGAGAGGTTTGGCGCTGGTGAACAATACCTGCCTTTCTATGGCTTTGTGTCTTGTGTTGCCAGACTGCAGGTGCTCTTTGGTAAGTGCATGACCAGAGTGTTCTTCCTATCCATTTTGCAACACAGAAGTAAATGAATGTGCGAGACTTCTGATTCATTAGCCACTATAGGTGCTAAATTACTAGAAGAATAACAAAGTACCCAGGTGAAAAAACAGTACATTTCCATAATGTACTTAAAGTGCTCTATTTTCATGCACTAATTTTGTACTTAATATACTAAAAATGATTATTTAGTACTTCCTAAGATGAACTTAAGATCATCTAAGTGTACTCAACTGTGCTATTTTGGGACACCATGAATATGAACTAAAATGCGCTTTTAACATACTATCTCTGTATTTAAAAAATGTATTTAGTCACCACTTGTAGTACACTTGAGTGTAATAGTGTATGAAAGATTGGTTCAAGTGTACTACAAATTATAATAATTAATAATAACTAATTATAAAAAGTAAAATAATAACTCATTATAATTTTTATATCAGTAAGTCTTGAGCAATATGTCAGTAAATATGTTAATAGATTTGAAATATACTTAGTATGAAATAAATTTATTTTAAATATATTACTTTTTTACTAGGGAAGTAATGCTTTTTTCAGCAAGGATGCATTAAAACTGATCAAAAGTAGACAGTAACAAAATTTATAAAGTTACAAAAGATTTCTATTTTAAATAAATGCTGTTCATTTGTAACGTTCTATACATCAAAGAAATCTATATCATGGTTTCCACAAAAATATTAAGCAGCACAATTGTTTTTAACATTGATAATAATATTTAAGAAGAAATGTTTCCTGAGCACCAAATAATTGTGGCCTTAGTGAGCATAAGAGAATACTTTTAAAAGCATTAAAAAAAAAACTTACCAAACCCAAAACTTTTGAAGGGCAGTCTGTGTCTATTTGTAATATATATATATATACTGTGTGTGTGAGACCCTGGACCACAAAACCAGTCATAAGGGTCAATTTTATGAAATTGAGATTTATACATCATCTGAAAGCTGAATAAGCTTTCCATTGATGTATGGTTTGTTAGGATAGGACAATATTTGGCCGAGATACAACTATTAAGGAAATCTAGAATCTAAGGGTGCAAAAAAATCGAAATATTAAGAAAATCGCCTTTAAAGTTGTCCAAATGTTCTTAGAAATGCATATTACTAATCAAAAATTAAGTTTTAATATATTTACAGTAGGCAATTTACTAAATATCTTCATGAAACATGATCTTTACTTAATATCCTAATGATTTTTGGCTTAAAAGAAAAATTAATAATTTTGACCTATGAATTTTTGGCTATTGCTACAAATATACCCATGTGACACTGTGACTTATGACTGGTTTTGTGCTCCAGGGTCATATATATATATATATACTCAGTGATCACTTTATTAGGTACACCTGCTTAAAGGGATAGTTCATCCAAAAATGTAAATTCTGAAAATTCTGTGGGCCTTGAACGTGGTAGTCTTGTTGCGGTCTATGCAGGGTCAGAAAGCTCTCTCCATTTAATCAAAAATATCTTAATTTGTGTTCCGAAGATGAGCGAAGCTCTCACGGGTTTGGAACAACATGAGGAGGAGTAATTAATGACAGAATTTTCATTTTTTGGTGAACGATCCCTACATCCGAACAGCCAATCATGCAGCAGCAATTTAATACATAAAAGCAATTCACATTTAAATAACATTCAGTTCTCATTCAAACCAACAATCGGAATGAGGAAGAAACACGATCTAAGTGACTTTGACCATAAAATGATTGTTAGTGCGAGACAGAATGGTTTTAATTTCTCAGAATCTGCTGATCTCTGACTGATTGTGCACATCAGTCTGTAGAGAATGGTGTAAAAAGCACAAAAACATCCAGTGAGTGGCAGTGCTGTGGACAAAAATGCCTTGTTATTCAGAGAGGTCAGAGGGGAAACCAGACAGGTTCAAATGGAGAGGAATGTGGCAGTAACTGAAATAACCAGGCGTTACAGCAGCGCTGTGCAGAAGAGCTCCTCTAAACACACAGCATGTCAGATGTGGCAGTGGATGTGCTACAGCTGCAGCAGGCCATGGGTTCCACTCCTGTCAGCCAAAAATAGGACACTGAGGCTACAGTGGGCACAAACTCCCCAAAACTTGTCAGTAGAAGACTGGAAAAACATTGCTTGGTCTAAAGAGTCCATTCCTTCTGTGACATGCAGATGAAGGGGTCAGAGTTTCTCGTAGACAGTGTGAATCCATGGATCCAACCTGCCATCAAGTGGGAGGTCCAGGTCTAGAATCTCTGAGCATCTTGTTGAACCCATGTTATGATGAATTAGGACATTGTGAGGAAAATAACACACAGAATTTAAAATTTTAAAGGAATAGTTTACCCAAAAATGAAAAATTGCTGAATGTACTCACCCTCAGGCTATTCAAGATGTAGATGAGTTTGGTTCTTTATTGGAGCAGATTTGGAGAAATTTACCATTGCATCACTTACTCACCATTGGATCCTCTGCAGTGAATGGGTGCCGTCAGAATGAGAGTCCAAACAGCTGTTAAAAACATCACAATAATCCACAAGTAATCCACACGGTTCCAGTCCATCAGTTAATGTCTTATCAAGTAAATAGCTTGAAGTGTTTGTAAAAAAACAAAAACATCAAGACGTTTTTAAACTTCAAACCATTGCTTCCTGCTAAAATATGAGACCACATCTATAACATTGTTTTCTCCTGCAAAAAAGTTAGTCTGAATCAGGGAAGAAATATGCACAGATCAAGCACCGTTTATTAGTGAAAACCATCCGAACTAGTTTTAAACAAATATATAGGTAGATTTTGATGTAAGAAGACAACAGGGTTTTTCACTGGAGAAAGTGTTACTGTGGATTACAGACTATGGATTATGAATTATGATTACGAATGATGGATTTTGGCAATAACCAAGCGATGGTGTAAAGTTAAAATGCTTTAATGATGAATTTGTTTCTCACAAACACGCTGCTATTCACTTGACGTTAACTGATTGATTACAGTCGTGTGGATCACTTGTGGATTATTGTGATGTTTTTGTCAGCTGTTTGGACTCTCATTCTGACGGCACCCATTCACTGCCAAGGATCCACTGGTGAACAAGTGATGTAATGCTAAATTTCTCCAAATTTGTTCCGATTAGGAAACATCTTTGAATGACCGGAGTAAATTTTCAGCAAATTTTCATTTTTGGGTGAACTATTCCCTTAAGCACTGGAATGTCACTCTTTATATCACACAGAAGCAAAATAATAAAAGAATCACATACATCTCTTTGAATCAATTCTGTTAATGCACAAACACTACTCATGCTATAAATTACGTTTCCTCATTATTAGAAAGGTGTACCTTTTAAAGTGTCCACTGATTATATGTACCCATTTTGTTATTTATTATTTTTGTTAGATTGTATTTGTTATGCCCATTTACATATGGTTATCACGATCTGATTCTAGTGTGAAGGTAAATATAATTGTGTTGCACTGCATCTCATCATGCTGTTTATTGGCATGCCTAAACGCTGTTGAGATGTTCAGGACATCATTAGCATAGATGTGAGAGTCTGTAAACATGTTAATTGGAAGGATTCAGCTTGCCGATGTTTCTCCTCAGATCTTTTTGAGTCAGAGACCAACCCAGAGGTGAAGGACAAGGGCATCAACGCTGTAAGATCTTTTTTTGTCAAAATCTGCTAATTTCTTTCCATCTCTTCCACAACCATCTCTGAACACCCTCTGACTAATGTTAAAATGATTAACGCTTATTAAAAATATCACTGCGTGTCCAGCTATAGTCAAGAGAAATTTGATATAAATGTCCTTCACAAAAAGTGTCATTTTAAATGTACACTACCAGTCAAAAGTTTTTGAACAGTAAGATTTTTTTGTTTTTTAAAGAATTCTCTTCTACTCACCAAGCCTGCATTTATTTGATCCAAAATATAGCAAAAGCAGGAATATTGTGAAATACTTTTACTCTTTAAAATAACTGCTTTCCATTTGAATATTGTCGCACCCCATTGGACTTTTGTGTTTTCTTGCCCCTGTGTGCTCTGTGTGACCTAGTTTTCCCTCATGTTTGATTGTGTCATTTAGTTCAGGTGTGTGTCGTTAATTATCTTAATTTGCCTCAAAAAGTGTAGTCTTTCCTGTTTTCCCTCGTCCGGTATTGATGTGATTGAGAATGTTTCCCTACGTGTGCTCCTGCCTGTCCGTCCTGGATTTATCAATAGACTATTTGCATTTATCTTGATCTTCTTCGTGCGTTTATATCACCGTAGCATGACAAATATATTTTAAAATGTAATTTATTACTGTGATCAAAGCTAAATTTTCAGCATCCTTACTCCAGATCTCCGTGTCACATGATCCTTCAGAAATCATTCTAATATGCTGATTTGCTGAAATGTTTTCATGAAACATTTTTATTATTATTATTATCAATATTTAAAACAGTTGAGTACATTAGAAATATCCAAAAGATCCAAAGATCAGCATTTATCTGAAATTAAAAGCTTTTGATAATACAAGATAAAATTAAAAAGAAAAAAAATGAACGAATGAAAATTTTCAGCATCATTACTCCAGTACAAAAGATTTCTATTTCAGATAAATGCTGCTCTTCTGAACTTTCTATTCATCAAAGAAACCTGAAAACAATTCTATTCAGCTTTTTTCAAAATAATAATAATAATAATACATGTTTTTGAGCAGCAAATCAGAATATTACAATGATTTCTGAAGGATCATGTGACTGGAGTAATGATGCTAAAAATTAGGCTTTGAAATCACAGGATTAAATTACATTTTAAAATACATTCAAATAGAAAACCATTATTTTAAATAGTAAAAATATTTCAAAATTTTACTGTTGCTGTACTTTGGATCAAATAAATGCAGGCTTGGTGAGCAGAAGAGACATTAAAAAACATTAAAAATCTTACTGTTCAAAAACCTTTGACTGGTAGTGTATATTAATAAAATTAAAATAAATCTAAAATAATTAGCTAAATAAATAAATACAAATTTTAAAGCCACAAAAATACCTATTTCAATTTCCTCGATACCTAGAAATGGTTTGAATGGTGACATTTAAAGGGATATTTTGACCAAAAATGAAAATTCTGTCATTTACTCCTCTCATGTCATTTCAAAGCTGTATAACTTTCTTTTATTTTTGGAACACAAGACAATATTTGGAAAAATGTTTTGTACATGTAAGTTAGTGGTCACCAAAATGGTTTGATTAGCAACATTTTTCAAAATATCTTTTATGTTTCACTGAAGAAAGACATTAAGTCATGCACATTTGGATCAACATAAGTGTAAATAAATGACAGAATGTAGATTTTGGGGAGAACTGTCCCTTTACGGTCTACATGTATCTATACAATGTATGTATAATATAAGCATATATTTATTAATAATGTGCACAGCACGTTTCCTAAATAATTTCTCTGGTCTTTGTGCAGTGGCTGCTCAAGCTGTTGGCTGTGTGAGCCTGTCCAGACCCGACACCTCAGCGGGACAGACCTGCTAGGCCAAGACTGCTCTGACGTCATCCACCTGGGCCTACGTCTCCTACATCTCCTCCTCTTCTATCTCATTTGTGATCTGCGGACCTTTGCCCTGCAGTTGCTTCCACCCACTCATCGCTCCATCAGTTGGGGTCTATGACCATGTAGGTCATTACTGCCTGGACACAAAACAGACTTTTGCATTTCATCCCCCTCGCCCCACCCTAACACACCTAACACAATGTGTTTGTGTGTGTGTTTGCATGCAGAATAATCAAAACATTTGAATATTTTAATAGAAATATTTTACTTGTAAATGAACACTCTGTCATCATTTCCTCACTCTCATGTCATTCCAAACCCATATGCCTTCATTTCTTCTGTGGAGCACAAAAGGAGATATTTAGCAGGATGTCCAAGCTGCTCTTTTACCATACGCAATGAAAGTGAATGGAGACCAGGAACAATTGTGATCGCCATTCGCTTCCATTGTTAGAGAAGCTTGGGCATTCTTCTAAATATCTTCTTTTATGTTACAAAGAAAAAAGAAAGTCATATGCATTTGTAATGAAGGTAAATGATGAACAGGTGACCAATCTATATTTCAAAAGAATTCTAGCACATTTATCCATTTCATTAGCAAAGCTGTCAATTAATGTTAATTTAGTGTGACCAGCAAATATTGATATGTGATTAATCCAAATATCATGCAATTTATTGGATTGAAATTTTGAGTCACTGATTTCTCTAAATATTAGTGAGGCTTTATACAGTCATTGCCGTTTTTATGTATTTTGAACATTCATATCTGCTTTCATATGCTTTTAGAAGTCAAGCAGGACTGTTAATGCATTTAAAGCAGGGGCTCGTTATTATAGTCATGCTTGTAACAAGGAGGCTAATTGCATATTTTTTCATTCATACAGCATGAGTCGTACTTCCTCCTCTAATTTTTTCCCCTCTTAGGAACATGTATGCATCTCCGCTTAATGTCTTTAAAAGTTGAGAACGTTTTTTGCTTCCAAATATAAAAGCACAAGTCATAATCTTTCATCACGGGGCATTTCTATATTAAATTTTTTCTATGCGTATACCTACACCTCCACACACACACACTCTCTCTCACACACACATTGTTCGGGAGCGAGATAGTAGCTGTGGGTATTAAAAGCGATGTCTCAGCAGCCCTGCACGCACCGGCTCTATTCTTATCGCTCTGACGCCACACACAGCGTCATCACGCCATCGCTCCCTCCTCCGCTACGCTCTCCCTGCATCCCTCCCTCCAGCTCTCTCTAGTAACTGTCTCATTCTCACAATCTGCTTCCTCCTCCTCATATACCTCGCGTATGCTTGCTCACACACACACTCTTGTTCTCTCTCCTGCTGCTCCTATTAATAGAAACCTTTGCTCACACAATGCTTCCTCCCTGCCGTAAGGTGACCGAACAGAGGTTGCCCCCAGCAACAGTCCAAGCGCCTCTGGAAAGGGCTAGAAAAAGCAGGCTCGCACGTCCGTCATTACTCTCTCAATCACTTCCTATTCCATAATTTTCCAGGTTACATCTTGTACTTTTTATGCTGTAATCCCTTCATGTATTCGCTTCCCTAAAAGCTGCTCTTGACTCGGTTATCCCTGTCTGCCTGTCTTGCTCTCTTGTCTGTGAAGTGAGCCAGAATCATTTTCCAAAAATACCAGGAGAAAGCCATTCCCATTCATCTCGCCAGAAGTATGCGATTTGAAGTCTGCCATCTTTGCTCACGGGCACCCAGTACGGCTACTTGTTCTTTGGACCAATCACTTGAGCCGCAATTGCCATGTGACTAATCACTCTTGACTTGATTGGCTGATGGCGACACAAGAACGCTTGCAGTCCCAAATCCTTGGAGGTTGGCATTAAAATCAGCAGAGAAAAATATGTCCGTTTTACGCTTCTAAGAGCCCTAAAAACATTACCTATAATGAAATAATGGGGATATACACACTAGGGATGTGCGATACGCATCTCGATGCATAGCCAACGGTACGATACATTAAAGATACATATAAAGCAGCTACTGATGCGATGCGATATGATTCACCCCTATTACGATGCATTGTGAACTGAAATCGATTTGATTCAACACAATGTGATTCAATGCAATACGAAGCAATGGAAAAAATATGATGCTATGCAATTCAATATGGTATGCTTTTATTTCTTTGGTTCAGACAGAGAGCAAATCAAGTGCCTTCTGGCTTCTAATGCCTTGGTTTCTTTAGTGTTGTTATACGTCATATTCACGTAGCAGCAGTGGTGATGAGAGAACACGCTTGAGAAACAGTTTAGAGAGGAGAAATCAATCTACATATAAAATATTGGTCACTTTCTAAATAATAAAAGTATAGCACATTTACTAATAATTATATATACATAAATCGTTTTTTACCAATGCAGATGTGTTAGAAACGATGCATCTTCCAACTTGTATCCGATGCATCGCAGTGTTAACTTTTATGCCGATGCACCGATGTGAATAAATGAATCTTGCCATCCCTGATACACACTATTCACACACTAATTTTAAATGGCCGTCACTGAAGAAAGATGCTTTTTGGGCCCAGATAGTATAGAACTATTTCACATTTCCTTAGTTCTCAGAAGCAGAAGTCATCATTTTTTTAATAAACATCTATAGTTGCAAATGAAAACTACAACAAATCCAATTTTTGCTTTCCTATTTGCTCCAATAGCAAAAGAATGGTAGCATTTCTACGACTTTGCCAAACGGGAAAAAAAATATTAAGAGATCAGTTATGTTGGTCACAAGAGAGAAAGATTTCAAATTTGCTGTCACTCCCTCAGCCGTTGTATTAAAAACACCCAGGCAGCAGCATTAACCAGTTTTCTGTAATTTGGCAATAATTTATTGCCAAGGTAATAAAACACAGAGTATAGTGTTATATAAAATGAAAATGTAAAAATATTGCTAGATTTACGATGCTAATAACTGTGGAAATGCGTCATCACAGTTTGCGTAAAGGGTTCATAGTTATATGGCATCTACTAACGCACATTCTTGCATTTAAATAATATATATATATTTAGTCCACCAATATAAAAATTCTACTTTACAATTACATCTGGGACACTAGAAATCCTTAAAGTAAGAATAATAATACTGAATACCACACTTTAAAACCACAAAATGCATGCCTTGCCACGAAATACATACCATTGCAAAGCAGTCATAATGTTTTATCAGTGATTTGGCTTAAGATAGAAGTATTAAGTATCCCAAAAAACAGAAGGTTAGTGTTTTCCTGTGGATAGAATGAAAGTGTCTGCCAAAAACACAGCAGACCAAGGTTATTCACACAGACACAGTAGCTTCCTTACAAATATTGAACTTGGCTTAAAAATAGGTGAGAAATATTCATTTGCTTGTTGTTATTTAGTTGTAAATTCATTTGTTGTGATTAATTATTATTAATAATATAATAATAACAATGTTATTATGTAGAATAATGAATGTGAAATCTGTCTCTGATGTTTTGAACCTTTTTAATGCTGCCATCAGATGTGCGCTCCGCTGATTTGGTTGGAAAGAGCTGAGTATCTATTAAAAAGTTTGCCCACCTGAATGCATACAAGCCAAGATGACAGATGGCCAGAAATATCAAAAATGTGTGGAGTTTCCTTTCTGAGAAACGCAGACTAAAATAACCAAAGAATTAGAATGGGGTTTCTGGCAGATAGAACATTTAGTTTGATTGAATCTAATTACTAAGGAGGAAACAGGCACAGCAGCTTGCCGAACATGTGTTTGTGTGACATAGACTGATTCAGAATCGCAGGGTTGAATGAATAAATTCCTCCAACCTTTTCTCCACCTCCCTCCATCTGTGTTCATGCTATCATTCTTTCCTCCGTCACCCCTCGCTTCATTCCCCCAACTGATCCCATTGGTGCGCCGCAGTGACATGTTTTGCCTCTATTTCTTGCCGACAATTTGCTACAGTTCTATGGGGCTGGCTACAGGAATAGCTCCAGAGTTGTGGGAGCGTTTTCCAGAGTGGAAGCTCCTTAAGTAAGGTGCCTTTTTAAAGTAGACTGCCAAGATGCATTTTTAGACCTGGCTGGAGAACACAATACTACTGAAATTGATGTCACAGGATGTATTCGAAGACATTTAGTATTTCGTGGATTTACAGGGCAACTGTGTCATATTTTAGCTTCATCACCCTGAGAATGTGTATCAGTCGGACGGTCGTTTACGCGCAAAGTCGTTGTACTATAAATAAAGAGAGCGTTTGGGAGTCAGTGCTTACGAACAACAACAATATGGGTAAAATGTCAACTCTTTGGGTGAGAGTGCATCACACACTGACTAATGCGTCACTCAAACTGCATTTGACTGTTTGCCCCCACACTGACTACTTAGTTAAATGTGTTCACTTTTACGTCAACTCATTAAGCGCTGACGCATTAATGAAACTGGGGTGAAATTATTCTGCACTTGAGAGTTTTGTATGCATGTTTTTAAAAAAATGCATGGATGGTGTAGGTATTTGTGTGCCCACTGCAGTGAGGTGGCATGTTGGGCAGGAGGACAAGAGTAAAATGCTTATATGATATCAAAGTACTAGGCTGGTAATCAGAAGGAAGGTTTCTCCTCACAGCCCTCCTCTAATCGCTAACTCACTTCTTCTGTATTTAATGAATAACAACTATTGTAATTGCTCATAATTGCACTGTTAAAGGTGCGTTAATGCTATATAATTATAGACTGAGTTCAGTATAATGACAAAAGTGCGGTGTTGCCTAAATCGCTCAATTATTTAGACTATATGCATACGCCCAGGAACTTGATCTAGAAATTCTGGCTGTTCGTGTTATTGGATTGCTGTTGTCATTTATCCCAGACTATAGTAGCCTATATTTCACATGGAAAAGTTTGTGTATGAACCAGGTGCTCAAAGAAGCTTCAAATCTCAGAGGATTGAATCTTTTACATCAACCTTCTATTAACCAAAATGCCATGAGCTATTCATTAGTAAATGCCTCCCAGGCTTTTGTCTTAATACTAAAGAAAGTAAAACCAATGTGCAGTTATTTTTATCTGAACAAATGTTTATAATTTCACCTCAGCCCTAGTAATCATTTGTGATTTACTCAGCTGTCATCTCCCAAATTTATAACCGCTCCAGCCTAATTAAAATATGGGATTATGTGATCTCTCTCCATGTGTGATGAAAATAGTTTGGGACGTTTACTACAGTATTTGGTTCCAAAACATTTCACTTAAAGAGGTAATCATTAAAA